ACAGGAGTTCTGCTTCTTTTGTCCAGCATACACTTTCAGTGCCGAAGGTTGGACAAGTCAGCGCAGTTCAGCACATTGGCAATCAAGCAGAATCTCTACTAGCAGAAGCTTATAGGTAAATTTAAAAATGCTTCTATGTTCTTTTACAGAAGTAAATATCCCGGGCCGAAGCTTGGAAAAAACAGTTTTTATGTTGATATTTTAAAACATTCAAGTCGAGGATTGACTGAAAGATTCGCAATTAATTAAGCACTCAAGAGTGTTCTTAACCTAAAAATGACGATTTTATCATTGATTAACATGTTCTACCTGAAAATATCAGACCAAAGAGGGATCTGAAAGGCACTATCGCCAACTGGGAACACAAAATCAATTCAGGGTCTGCGAGTTTGTTTTGCCACTATCTCATAGATAGCGCTAGAATCTTCATTCCCTTTTTGGCGACTCTTTATTGGTACCTTCAGACATCGATTAACATTTTCCACTTGAAGTTACCCAGTTAAAGTAGGCATTAGAGAAGCGCCATCTACAGGACAGTATTATAATCAAACTGTCCTCTTTTTAAAGTAGATTACTAAATTCATTTTTGTGTTCCGCTACTCTCTGCTGGCATTTGTGAGATTTCCTTTTGAGCTCTTCTGGTAGAAGATGTTGGTATTATGGAATTTGAAGCATCAATTTTTTTTTGCAGTAATCTTGGGAATGTGTATAAAGAAAGAGGGAAACTTCAAGAAGCGCTGGAGAATTACAGACATGCGGTTCGTCTGAAGCCAGATTTCATTGATGGATACATCAACTTGGCAGCAGCACTTGTGGCTGCTGGTGATATGGAGCAAGCTGTACAGGCCTACATCACAGCTTTACAATATAACCCAGTAAGTATTTTTAAGCAATACTCAAAAACAACATTGACAACAGAATATACAGGGCATCCAAGATAAGGATCCTATGCATGGGGATCTAAATACCCATGGGTGACTCAGCTTATATTAAATTAGAAAAAAGCTAAGATCTTTGGGCCATATTTACATGCTGTTGAGAAACTTCATGGCTTACTGGGATATTTTGGAAAAAGTAAAATTTGCCATATCAAAAAACAATAATTGTGGAACTTTTTCATTAGTACTTTGTAGGCTCTACATGGTGGTGTTTTTAAATTTTGTGCCTGGCATTTCGTTTTCAAGAAACCATCATCAACTTTATATAATCTCACATCAAGCATTTGTTTGCAACACCTACTTAAACAATAATAATAATAATAGTAATTTTAGTTTTCTCAAATATCTCGGTAAGCCATAGCCTTGGCATGTAAATACGCCCCAAATAATGCAACTTTTTTCCTAATTAAACCTAAGCTGTATCTCCTAAATAGTGGATAGTAGTAGATCAATAGTTTTTCATAATCCAATATCTTCATCTCATATAAATATGATGAAAGGTCGACTGAAATTAGAGTATCATGATATCAGGGAATTGTCAGAATCTTGAGAAATGTCGAAAGCCAAGAACGAAAAAGTAGATTTCTTTTTCTGTTGAGGAATTTAGAAAATATGGAATGGCAGATATAATTACAAGGGGGTTGAGGGATTTGAGGGATGATCTTTACTTGGAAGGCTGATGACATGCATAAGAATAAACAATTTTTTTTAAGGAAAATGGAGTTCGTTTCTACTACTTCTAAGGGGATTATAGCAGAAGGTTGGCCATTTTATTTGAGAATATGTTAATGATTGCTGAAATCCAATCAAGCTTTTTAATTTTTGGCATATATACGTAGTATCCATGCTTCAAAATAACACCAAAATCAGAGCAGCATTTTCCAAGTAATAAACGGAACCCAAGGATCATCATGAGATAGCCAGAATGATGAAAATGAATGGCATGATTTTTTGTGATGGGCATGTCATGTAACATCAAAAAAACTTAATATCCGGATTATGTACTTTTTCGCGATTTCAATACTTCTAGTCAGTTGGCGTGGGATTTCAAGCAGCACAGTATTTTTATACCAGTCAAAATATAAAGCAAGATGGTGCCCAAATTTGAACAGTGGCAATATTGCTTTCTTCAGGAATTGAAGTTCATTTGTCACCAGTTGAGCATCAAGGACATCTCTTATAAAAACAGAAAGCAGTGCTTTTATGTAGCAAACATTTGGTAATGCAATTTTGACTTTCGATTTTTATCCAATTTATTAATTTCAAGGTAAAATTTCATTGTTAAAATTTTCCTACCTACTCGCTCTGCAGCACTGGAGAAACTTGTATCCATTTTTCTGTATAGATTGCACGAATGTCACAGGCCACATGTTTGATAACACAAGCAAGTTCATTAAAATGGTTTGCATTTAATAATTTTGGGTAATAATCTCAACACGTTCTTACTTATCAAACATAATTAATGTTTCAGATAGTGGCGATGTGAAAGGAATCTATACAGTTTTATGTTTATTTTCTAATAGTTGATTGTAGTTTGATGATGTTATTAATTTTTTGTATTTATAAGGTAAACAAAAACGGCATGTGTATTGCTTATTATAAATTTTATGCAGGGCGATAAAAACCAAATGAAATACTGATGAAAAGCAGCCTGTTACCCGCGATTTCGTACGCTTCAAACGGATACTACTATAAAACATTGATTATGGATGACGTATTGTTATGGCTCTACCTACATGTTCCCCGATAAAACGGGTACGGGGAAATATGCCTGATAGGTGCGTATAATTACTGGAATTGAAAGCCTAAAAACATACTAGCGCCAAAAAATTGAGACATACCTTCATCCCCCTCGTAACAGCTCCCAACCATCAATTTATAACCCCTACAAAAAAATTTCTGAAAATGATGACCATCAGAAAAGTTTTAGCGATTTTTATTTTTTAGTTGTTTTGCCCCTAGCTCCGCCGCCACCCTACAAAGATTTTTACTTTATTTTTTTGGACGTTATATGACATCTACATTACGAAAAACCATGTCATTCATTTCCGTCGGTCTGTCTGTCTGTCTGTCCGCTAATTTTATATTCGCCTATAACTTAAGAAGTACTTCTCGGAAAGTCGGCCTAGTGGTGACGGGGAAGGAATAAAAACAAAAAATAAAAATCGCTCAAACTTCGTATTTGGCGTTTAAAAAGGTCCTGATCATTTTCAGAAATTTTTTTGTAGGGGTTGGGAGTTGGGGGTGCTAGCGGGTGTATGCATTTTTTTGATCTTGGTATATTTATACGCTCCTAACCCCGGTAATTCTGGCACCTATTATGTCCGGTTTTTCAATCTCTGGTTAACTGTCACGTCAGGTAACTATAACTTGAAAGTTAACTATCAGTTGTCTGTGAATTCATTTTTCAAGCTGTAGTTAATAATCAATAAATCGTTGATGCGTCAACGCTGCTTTTATGCCCGAATTATCGTGTTCTATGCGTTTCGTGATGTTCTTTTCTGTCTCTGTGTCTCGTGTCATCCATGAAAACTTATGGCACTGCCAGCCACACTAGTTTTGGTATTCTGGTTCGACCACAACTTTATAGTTATCCCATAAATGGTCCTCATGTTGAAGTTGATTACCACTTGATATTGAAAATTTTTTTTGAAAGTTAGAAGACAAATTGTAGTTGGACCTTAGCCATATTTCACTCATCATAGCTCTCCCTCTTACATTTGCCTGTAAAAGTTAGAATGATGAAGGTTTTCGGTCCGCATCCTCGTGCCTATGAAAGCGAACCGTCTGCCTAACCAGCCCGTCTTATATGTATGTATTTGTACTGAAGCCCAAAAAATATAGGAAACTTGCACGAACCGAGAGATAACTCGCTGCATAGATGCCGCGCAGATTTAGAAAGGGACAACGTTGCCACATGCTCGGAACTACTTGTAGGGCAGGGAAATGATGTCCATGGGACATATTGTCTCTAACTGTTGGACTGACTTAATACGTTTGATTGCTCTGTTCTACATGTCCGTAACTGAATATTTCCTCAGAGGATTTAAATTGCGCTGAACTGAGCCCTTTATGATGTGATGACGGCGTTGCGTAGGAAGTGAAGAGTCAACCCACTTGACGTCATTTTTTGACATTGGCATAGTAGAAACCTTAATGTGAAAATTTAATCAACATCCGATCGGTACTTACCAATTATTACGGTATTTCGTGATGTATAAGCCATATAACATCCAGAAATCGTATCTCATTTTCGAAATTTTTCATGATTACAATACTTCCTCGACAGTAGCGTAGGCAGTAGCAGGAGTTCTATATTTCTTTGGAAAGTATAGCAAGGATTTTGTTGCAGGATCTCTACTGCGTTCGTAGCGATTTGGGTAACCTTTTAAAAGCATTAGGTCGATTAGATGAAGCCAAGGTAAGCACAGTTATTTTGAAAATAATCCAGATCCATTGTCCTACCCTTTTCAGCAAAATACTTCATTTTGATTGAACAGAGCAATGTTAGGACTTCATAAATTGTCCTCCACTTCAGTGTCACATTTTTTCAGTAAAATATTTGATGCCACAATCCATATTATGGAACTACGAGTATTTAAATGAAGTTGGATAGTTATCTTATTGATTCTATTCAGTGTGTTGTTTGAATTACATTTGGTCCGCTATTTTTGAAAAAGCGGTGTTGCGTAATTTTCTTTTCGTAGTGCGTTAATACTTTTTCTTTTACAGGAGTGAAATCGAAATTTGGCGCAGTGTGTGCGTAGTTTTATTCTGTAGTTAGTTTTATTCCCATTTTTCGTCTGAAGAGGGCGTGACTCGTGACGTGACAAGACTTCACTGTAATTATTTTCCTTGATTTTTCAGGATTCGAGATGGCTAAAAAACACGTTACAAGAATTATATTTTTCATAATACTGTACTAAAAAAAATTTGTGTAGATGAGAAACAGTTTTGTATTTTATTTTTTATTTTTTGGAATGTATTTTTTAGCTACTCTCCTTTTGACTTTCAGGTGCGCTTGCGTAGCTTTGTAATCCGAAATATTGGATACATTTTTGGAAATAGTGGACCGAATGCTGATTATTTGTTTGAGTTGATTTCAAAATTGATTGATGTAAATTAAAGTATAGCATCTGCAATTATCCATCCTATGATAGTTGATTGCAGTTTGTTTTTCTCCCACTGTACCTATCCTTTCCTTCTATGATCTATTGATCTTATATGTGGATGCAAAAAGATATGTTACGCTTACGCGAGTCTTTTTTTATACATATACCGAGGCATCCGCTTAGGCAGAAGCCTTAATACTAGGGCACCCCAGCTGCTATGAGGAGCTTAAAAACACTTTAATCCGAGTTTTCGACTGCCGAAGTGAGAAATTCAGGTGATTTTTTCACAATCTCGATACCCTAAGTACAAAGGAGCAGTCGTTTCGGTCAGGTGCAAAGTTCGACACGGTTAGGATGGGAGACCGAAGTCAGGCGGGTCTGTCTGGCAAGCACATCGCGCGTCGGCATTATGGAGCTCTGATGAGCAAAGCCCGTTGCCGTAGCGGTAGAAAAGAGCCAGATCGCCGACGCCCCTTCGGTGCGAAAGGGTCCCGAGACTGTCCGTTAGCGAAGAGTTAACGATCTATCGGCTAGCCCTCCTCTGAACAGCATCGATCATGCAAAATGTAGTAAGGGTGGCATCACCCCAAACGTGGGCGGTACTCGAGGCTATGTCTTATCTGTGGAGAAGAGTACTCATCCCAAAACAAATTGATGAGATATACTCGTGCCAGATCAAGAGCACCGACATCAGCCTCACCATAAGACTGGGTGAGTTTACTCCACAGTTCCGTGACATAAGCTAGGACCGTAGTGCCTGTCGCTAATCAAGCCGTGACTTTCAAGGTACTCCAGAAGCTTCCGATTTATGCACCTCTCCATCACCTCACCTATAACGGAAAGCAGAGCTATAGGCCTGTAGTTGTAAGAGTCGGTCTTAGATCATTTTTTTGGGATGGGGCGAAATGAGCAAGTCATATCAAAAATTAAATCGCTAGATTAGATCAGACTTAAAACAATGCTCGAACTAATAATACTATACTGAGTGACAAAAAAAGGTTAACACCTACGTATGTTTATTAGAGAATTCAAGAATTTTTTGCATATCGATTAATCTTGCCATGAACAAGTGATAAAATGGTCAGGTTTTCCTGTTAAGTTGTTGTGGTGGCTGCGTGTATTGTTTGGCCTTTTTTCTTACTGCGCCCACATTGGGTGCTACCTCTCACTGCTGAACATCGCCGTAATCGTTTACTCTGGCGTAGAGAAATAATTCTATGGACCGAGAATGCAATGAGGTGGTCTTTACTGACGATTCCCGTTTCTGTCTGGGGATGCACGATGGTCGGGCAAGAGTGAGAAGGCGACGTGGTGAAAGACGTGACACACAATTTGACAGACAGCGTCACGTTCACCACACCGCGGGAGTTATGGGGTGCTATTGCTTAGGGTAGCAGATCACCACTAATTTTCGTCAGAAGCAATATGACGGCCTGACGCTATATTCAGGAAATAGTGCAGCATCATCTCGTTTCATACCTAATCACCATCCAAAACCCGATTTTTCAGTAAGACAATGCAAGACCGCATGTTGCCAGAGCATCTTTAGCCTTCATTGATCAACATCGCATCAACCGTTTACCTTGGCCACAAAAATCGCCTGTCCTATCTCCAATTGAACATGTCTGGGACATGATAGGTCGCAGGCTGTTGAATTTGCAACAGCCTCCACAGACTTTAGCAGCTCTTATTCAAGAAGTTGCAGAAGCCTGGAATTAGATACCCCAACACGATATCGATCACCTTATCAGTACGATGCCCAGGCGTGTCAATCAGTGTATAAGAAGTCGTGGATCTTCAACACATTATTAAACCAGCTTCGGCAGTCAGTTGACGAATCAAGCTGAAAATTTAATCATTTTACTAGAAAGGGACTCTAAACACATGCCAAAAAATCTTAAAATCGGATAAACATACGTAGGTGTTACCTTTTTTTGTGACTCAGTATATGACACAAGATGTAAGGTTCCAAGGACTCTTTAAGAATCGGTAATCATTTGTAGTGACTTGGTTGGTAAAATATTGGCATTTTTAAAGAAAACGTTACTTGCAGTGATCCATGTGATTCGGAAATTATTGATTTTAGCTATTTCACGTCTTATAAACTTTTCCAACACAAAAATTTTACTCCGCCTGTAAAAACCTTTGAATATGATCGTTAGTTTGCTCTCAAAGCTATAAAAAAGTAAAAAATGACCTCCAAGTCTAGGAATAATTACGAGGAAGGTTGAGGGGTGACTTTTCCTTGGAAGGTTGATGTCATGTTTTAGTTTAAACAATTTTATACAAAAGGAGGGAGCCTTTTTTATTGCTTCTAATACATATACAGCATACGTTTGGACAACTTCTGGGAGAATATATCAATTAAAGGAAGAACAGACGCTGAATTGGGAAAAGCCAGCATCTGGTTTTACTGCTACAAGTTGTTGTTAAATGGTGAAAATACTAAGCCGAGAGAAATAAACATCCAAAATGACATTAAATTTTTAGGTGCGACACTTTGACCATAAGTCCCAATGGAAAAGCCACATTGATCCATAACTTTCTTAGAATATTCATTTCCCCCGCAACTTATCGCGAGAAGTGTTGCCAAATATGTTGGGATTTGTTACGTCGCATTATTCCACTCGTACATAGCATATGCAATTATTGTATGAGGCCACTTTGCTGAGGCAGCTAGCGTTTGGGCTGCAGGTGGGGCTGTTAGATTGATGGCAGGGCTGAAATACAGAAATGACTGCATGTGTTTACTGAATGGAAGCTGTTGTACCAAGTCTGTATGTGTATGAGAGTTTGATGTTTACCAAGACAAAAGGAGATCTATGCCTACCTTCGAAGATGTTCATGAATATGGTATCAGAAATAAGAGAAATTTGAACCCTATATTTTGGAGAGTGAGAAGGTGCCAAGATGCTTAAATGACTTTTAGATTTGCATTAGAAATGTGTTTGTTCAAAATGCTTATTACAAAATTGTTGATATTCTAAATACTCATTTGAACGTGTTGTGATAGTTCAAAATTTGTGTCATGTACCGTGCAAGTGGCTTTCATGCTATATGATGAATTTTTTTTTCGGACAGTGTTATGACGATTGTTAATATTTTTTTTTATTTGCATGAATAAATAAAGGAATGAATTAATGAAAGAGACAGTTTTGTTATCTAAAGCCATGTACAGATATGTAGCAACACCGCGAACCGAACCAGTCAATGAACCGCAGCGCGCGCATTTTGACGAACAACATTGCAACGAACATTACCACAAACCGAACGACGTCGTGCAACCCCATCGCGCAACAAAATGACGATCCAATTTTGATGTTTGTCGTTCAGTGAAAGAATACTAGCGGAAATGGATATAGCAGTAGCAGCAGCTGCCTATATTTATATTCACTACGAATTATCCAAAAACAAGCGACGACGACGATCGAGACGATTCTGGCAAACGCAGTTATGTACCAATAGAGCACACGGTTGCGTTGATAGCGGAATTGAAATATCAACAAGTGGACAGAACAAAATTTTTACGAGGATGTCTCCGATGGACTTTGAATATCTTCTCACGTTGATTGGATCAAAAATACGAAGACAAGATACAAAGTGGAGAGCTGCCATCACAGTACAAGAACGACTTGCAGCCACGGTGCGATTTTTAGCGACCGACAGTAGTTTGCAATACATGTTTCGAATTTCAATGCAATCGATCAGCTACATCATTCAAGAAGTTTGTGGGGCATTGATCGAAGTTTTAACGGGAAACATACAAGTAAGAAAAATAATTTTACTTCTAGGTACATTACAAAATAACACATTTCTTTTAACCGTCTACTAGGCTTGAGACATACGAATCTTTTCTCTGAGCTCGCTCATTTCGTTCATCTCTCTTTAGTGAGTCGTTCGTTCGGGGTCGTTCATTTGAACGACACGATTACCGACCGGCCTCGAATCTGACGAGAGTATTGTGTTGCCTATAGTAACGACTCACTGAGTCAGAGAACAGACATCATACTATGAAAATTAAATGAAGGGTTGGGGTTACCGATATTATTGTATTTATTTAAATATTAATATTTTTGGTTGAACTTGAATATAACGATTGAATACTGTCTTCCGAAAAAAGAAGGGATATGTGGTCCGGTTTTGAGGAATTACCGAATCCTGAATCAAAATGCAATTTTTGCTCTCAAATCCCATCATTTCAACGTATAATTTAATGAGAGATCTCAAAACAAAACAATTGGATTCCCTAGGTAGTGTCTGTACTGTTACCACGTTGTCAGTTCCCAGTTCAGTTGCTGCATACTGCAGACAGGCTTTGCACAATTGAACGAGCCATATTTAACAAAAGAGTCGTTCAATCATCGCTCACTTAGATGAGTCGTTCATTTTGAACGACTCCTTCGCGAACCACACATGACTATCGTCTTCACTAGCGCGGCGCGGTTCGTCGCGTGGTTCGGTTCGCGGTGTTGTTACATATCTGTACATGGCTTAAAATATGATGTATCGAAGCTGTAGACAGACTGGCTAATAAATTCTAGTTTTATGACACAATGTTCAAAAGCCTTTCATCTCAAATCAGCTTGTTCAAAGAGTTTTATTAGTTCTGCTAGATTATGAAACAAAAAAAAATGCGATACACATTTTCTTTTTGCATCTTACTATAACAACAATTTCTGATGGATTTATATAGACATAAGCAATGTTGAACTATTTTCACTAATGGTTATATTACTATGTTGGTGTCACGCGGATACAGGTCGGTGTAAAATGAAACAAACGCACACAGAGTGAGTGATTTGGTAGCATCTATAACGCATTGTTCTGTGTGTCTATCTGTCTCTCTTCAACCTGGTGTCTTCTTCTGCAACGTCACGTGATTGCGAACCGATCAGAGATGAGGCTCCAGTCAGGTAATGTACGCAAGCAGCGCCAGATGGACTCTGATATACCTCTCTCTTCCTCACATATTCCAACCGGACGGTCGACTCTGTTGTTTTTAGGTATACCGAGATCGGAACGAGCGTAAGCCGGCGCGGGGCCTCTGCCGCGTAGCTTTTTAGGTCAACTACTCTGGAAGATTATCATTGTACAATCTCAGTTTTATGCTAATTGGATGATATGCCATATTATTACATATTCTAGCTGCGACCCGCGACTCCGAATGTGTTAAATTGTTACTAATATATAACATTGTTTTTGAGTGTTGCTATAATTGCATTGCCTTAGTAAATTGATAGTCAGCTTATTGTATGCTTAGGAAATTTGGTTGGTTACCAATTTTTTGAAATTAGCATTTTAAATCAAACTAAATTTCTTATTGTAAAAACTACCTCTCCGCCAAATCTTCTGTTACACAATCCATTTAAGTCTACTGTAAGCAGAAAGTCATCTTTGCCAATTTTTAGATACATACTAGAAAACTCGAAGCAGTTTCAAACTTGCAAGTGCCATTTAATCCCTTAATACGGCCTTGTTACAAAATCCGTCTCTAGTTGAAATGTCATGTCCTTACCTCCTTGCAAAAATTCAGGTTTGGTGATCAAAAAGCTTCCGAGATTTCGCGATTAATGTGTATCTTTTCGCTTTTACGTATATCTTAATTCAGCCCCATTGCAAAATCCGTTTTTAGCTGAGATTCCACGTCCCATTTCTCCTACCTCTCAACCAAATGGCATGTTCATGAGTTAGAAAGTTTCTGTGATTTCGAGATTAATATGCATCTTTTTGCTTTTATCTATATTTGCCCTTAGCTCCCTTAATGCGCCCTCGTGTGGTCCTAACTACTGACATGTCCTGTCCGTAAACTCCCTCCCTACCAAATGTCATGTTAATAGGTCAAATAATTTTCGATATTTCGTGATTATAAACGTCTCTTTTATATATACGAGGATGGTCCGATAAGTACTGAGTATTTATTTCTTAAGATAGTCTCCTTTTAGCTCGATACACTTGACTCAACGATGCTCCAACTTCTTTAACCCGTCTGAAATATACGTTTTCTGGAGGTCTGCAAAGTATACCTTAGCTGATATGGTTGAGCGAGTATCTTTCCGCATTTATATTTATATACCTCTCTCCATAATCCCCCTTCATTCAGCTCTGTCGCAAAATTAGTTCGTAGCTGACATGTTCTGTCCATAAACTACCTCTGCCAAGGTTCATGTTCATAGGTCAAATAGTGCTCGAGATAAATTTCTTTAAACTTGAAAACTGATACGGTTGCCCATAGAAATGTTCATCCCTCTCCTCACTCATCTTGAGGATATAATTTCTGAAACTCTTTGTTGATAATCATTATTTTTAAGACAAAACATACTACTACTTTTAGTCTGGATCAATTTGAAATATTCTAAATTCTCTACAAAAAACTTGAAAAGTGTGAATTTCCACTTTACTCCCTTGAGGGTGGAATTTACAATATTCCCTTGTAAGTGCCCATTTACACAGTATAAAAAAACCGAGCATATAAAACCCATATCTATATACCTAGCGTTAAAAAATAACAGTTTTCCCCATAGCAGCTTTCACCTCCTATTTCAACCCCCTCCAGTCTAATTTTCACAACAAAAGGTGGCATCTGTCCGTCTCCAAGGTCTAGTCTGTATATATGCTAAAATTCATTAAAATCGTTTCAGCCCTTTTGGCGTGAAAACGGAACATAGAAATATACATACCGACTTTTACATTTATAATAGTAGGGATAATATTCGGATTCGGTTTTTTGCATAATCTGTTGCAAATGGACCATTTCTAATGAATCTGCATGTTGCTAGATCCAAACTTACTTCAAAAATTGTTTGAACATTTTTTTATACCAATTTCATGAGTTGATTTTTTTCGTCCTCGATATGTTTTTTAGCTTTTTTGGTCATTTTGCTCTTTACCTTACAGTTAATATTTTTCCAGATATAAGCGATACAGCATTTTAAAAACTGCAAAATATACCGTTTTCGACCCCGAAAAGCAATATGAAAAAACGAACATTTTAATGTTGCCCAAGTATCTAAGCGCGCCTTCAATGCATATTCGTGACTAACAATTAAAAAACAAAGGTTATATACAATAAAAATTACACCTAAAATGTTTTGGAATGTAATTAATAGATGTTTGAAGAATATTAAGGAACTTTCAACATTCAAGTTTTCGGTTTTTTCATATTGTTTCGGGGTCTAAAATAGCACGCAATTTACATTTTATAGTAAACGACCCGAAAAACCTAAAAAAAACTTTGTTCGGAGCGAAACAACGATTTTGGGGATTCGTGTAAAAATTTAGCTTAAACATTTTTGGACCTGACAACATGCAGATTCGTTAAAAGAGGCTGTTTTTGAATAAGATTACGCGAAAATCAGAATCAGGGTATTTTTCTGAGCGGGTGCCGAGCTACTTCCTGGATTAAAAGTGATTAGGTAATTAGCTTCCAAAATAAGTAGTCAATCTATGAAAACAACAGCACAAAGTGTGGCAATACTGCTCTCCATCTGTGCCCTACTACTATTCCGCCTTGGAAAGTGATTTGTTATAAAACTTTAATGTTTGATAACTAAACGAATTTATTCAATATTGCGTGAAATTTCATTTGCTAATTTTTTCAAAACAGTGTCCTTCCTGTTTAAAGCTTTCAATGCTCAAGATTATCTTTCAAAGTAGTTAATCTAAGCATAAAATGTCGCGCTTAGGCGTATCTAACTAGGTGTTTGGTGTTAGGGCTGCTTTTGCGACTTTTGGCGTAGCTCATTTCTCCTGAAGCATGGCGTAAGATTAGCATCACGAGGAATGAGGTTTCTGGCTAAGAGATGTCCAAAGATTTAAAAATCATTATATAAAAACTGGTGCGTGCGCAGGCTGTTATCACACAAAGTTAAAAACACTCTGTTTTAGTATTTTATATCGAGGTTCCTGAAGGTGAATTTTATAGGGCATTAAAAATTATCGGTATATTATATTGCTTTGCTCATGTATTATCGGGAAGTATCAACAATCCCTTCTAAAGTTGAAATAGTTTAAAGTCGCGCGTAATAAGTTTAGTGTGACGCGATAGGTTTCCCTTATGCACTGTTCTTGCTGTTCGATTAAAAAAAAGTGTGTTGACTTCTACCTCACTTAGCATATTCGGGGCCGACTACGTGTTCCACAGGATCCATCTGGATCCTTCTAAAAGCAGTCTTTGTGCGAAATGAATAAACCTACGCGGTGCTGGGTCCAGCAAGACGATCTGAATATATTCGTGAAGCATCAACATGATCTTGAAGACACGCCAAAATAATATTAAGTCGTCAAGATGGTTACTTAAACAAGAGTTTCATCTTCGATTCTGTTTCAAATTCAATTTATAGGTATAACCAGGTCGGTTTACCTACACTGCGTGCGTCGTATCGTTTCGCCGAATTTTTTGCTGTCTGATAATTTAGCTTGTTTTACAGGTATGTACTATACGCTATGTAAAACAAAATCATCAACTTTGAGAACATCCGCGGTTTTCTTAAAGTAGAAAATATGGCTAGTGACCACCCAGTCCCGTTTCTAATTCAAAGGCATACCTGTGTGTCCTGCTGCAGCATGTGCTAGTGCGATCTATGACTTGTAATACCTACCCGGTGTTTATTTCCCATTACCATCCATAGATGACAATTGACGTCTCCTAGCCACAATACCTCCCTTCTCGCCACACTTAGAGCGTAATTGCAGGCAACCCCTATCTTTCCCCGATCCCCTAGTCTTGGAGGGGCTCCACTTGGACCGGATATTCCGACGATGCGCATGCGCGACTCCCCTTTCAGATGGCTGGCTAATCACGAGCCTCTAACGCCTCCCTCTTCCCCATTTAGGCGTGCTACCTGAAGGCCATCGAAACGCGGCCTGACTTCGCCGTGGCCTGGAGCAACCTAGGTTGCGTGTTCAACGCCCAAGGCGAGATATGGCTGGCCATACACCACTTCGAGAAAGCCGTGGGGCTGGATCCGAATTTCCTGGATGCGTACATCAATCTGGGGAACGTGCTGAAGGAGGCGAGGATTTTTGATCGGTGAGTGGAGTGTGATTTAGATGGGGTGGTATAGGCGTCAACACAGCTATGGTTTTTTAAATTGTTGTTTAGTGGTGCTAAATACATGATAATGTTTGCACAAGTCGAAAAAAGGATGATACAATAAAAATACTGAAACAAACGGAACAAACAGTATAACTTATAACCCAGGATGAAATAAGAAATAGATAATGTATACGAGTATAGTATATCACAATTATTCTACAGTATTTACTATATTGTTCAAGTATCTTGTTCACAAGGTGCAGTTTTGGGTCCACTGATATTTAATATTTGAAGACATAAGTGGATAAAGATGTCATGTAACAAAATCATTTAATGCAGAAACATTTTTTAATGGGACTTTTTATTTTATTGACATTTTAAATATTTTGTTTACTTAAATCGTTATTATCTTGTTTTTGAACAAAGTAATCACAGAATGAAAGAATCACTTTTTAAGGTTAGTTTAACGAAAAAAATCAATGTCAAAAAAATGTTACCTGACACCTTTATCCACTTGTGTCTTCATTTGTTTGAACGATATATTCAAAATTAATAGTACTGGTAAAATAGTCAGTTTTGCGGACGACATAGTCATACTGTATAAATGTTAGGATTGGAACGACTTGGAAGATATTATCCAAAATGACTTTTGTAAAATTAGCAATTAACTTTGCGAAAACTCATTATCACAAAATTATTAGTGAACGCGACACTTTTAAACATAGTTATAACACCCGCACGGGTATCCTGTAACTTGAAAAGTGACATTATGCCTTTTTTTGACATTATGCTGTTTTTTTGACATTATGTAGATATTAACTTAGCACTCAGTTGTACGTGTTGCCTAAACGTCATGAGGTTTGTTATCAATCTTTGGCTCTGATGTGGTATAAAATCTGGTTCTGAGATGGGATTACTGGAGGTTTAAACAGTAAGTTGTATGTGTTGATGATAATTACATTGGTTCTTGTCACAAATACACTTAATTGAGATTCAAAGCTAGAAATTAGTTGCACATCCACTTTTTCTTATCCATTCTGGAAATTACATATACAAACTTGCTGAATTTCAAAAATGAGACAGGTAAGAAATAATTATATTCACTGTACACTGTAGAATTACAAGCCATATATATATACTAACCGTAATTACACACAACGGGGGCGCGGAGATTATTTCCCGCAATTCTCCTCAGTTTTTCGTAATTTATAACTTTGAACATAACCTCTCTTCAGAAAGCACAACATAAAAATAACCCATCGGGCACAGCCAATAGATATACTTCATTGGCAGCATATTCAGTAATGATTTTCTCACACAGCAAATATCCTGATTTTATACACATGCAGACCAATACACATAATTATCCATATGCGATCATGCATTCAACCCACTTTCTTCTCAGAGATAAGAACTACAGGCAAGAACCATTTGGTCTCACAAAACATATGCAACCAATAATGCGTTTAGTTTAGTTGAGTGATTCCTCCTTAGATGGACGTTCACAACGATCCTAGTGAGCAAACGTGGAATGACTGTTTGCGCCCTAAAAACTACCTAGTTTGCAAGATGACATCTTAAAGGTTTTTTTGACGTTTTATGGGTTTTTTACATGATACCCATGCCGATATAAATTACGCGCATAAAATGTTCCTAAACCAAACAAATCTGTAATGAAATGATCTCACCTTGTTTAGTTCCAAAATCGTATGATCATTTACCGAATGATTTAAAACAATTACGTAATCCATTAAGATTAAAAAAAATATATATAAAAATTGAATAGTACGCTTGGAAGAAACAACATTAATGGAAGATTCTCAAATAATTCACAGTAAATATATTTTTACAAATAATATAATTTAGGTTTCTTTTTCTTGGTTTTCTGTTTTTTTATTTATTTCAATTCACTTACAATTGATCCATGCACAGGCACTGTCCTTTTACGGATAAATTATATTTACTCCTTTTATGTTACTTGTATTTATAGAGTAAATAAATATTTCTACTAGTATAATAATAAAAATAAGTAAAACAAAATAAAATCAATGTTACAAGAATTGCAATGGTTGAATGTAAAACATTTCGATTTTTCGGTATTTTAAATTTGCCGCGTCTTTTTCCTATTCGTAATTTTGGTAAAAAGGTTGAATGTGTCTTTCTGTAGCAGTATAGACTGTAAATAAAAATAAATATCGATATCTGAATCAAATGCATATTCCCTATTTCTGACAGTTGTGGACGGTCAAACAAGTAAGATTGACGTACACAGCTGAGCGACGTTCTTTTGATAGCTGAGTAGTCACTGGAAATCGTTTTCGTAGTAGTCGGAAACTGTCACTGTTGAAATATGTACAAAACAGGATCTCTAGGGATATGATATAAAGTTTTTGGGCGCCAAAAGTAGTTTACATGTAAGTACCATGTCTGTCCTACATTATTTTAAATGTATCCTTTCCTAGCTGTCTATATCGGGGCGGTAAGGAAACCACTGTTTTTTACTTTGTGCCATATCTATTTTTGGTAGGGCATAACTTTTGTCGTCTCCTACTTAATACCATTGATTAACAAATTCTATCTGAAGCCAATCTTTCTTCCGCTAGGCGGCGCTTTTGTAGTTCCGGGTCAAACTGTCAAAAGTAAACGGGAAATAGACATATTTGATAGAAAGATAACCTACATTTTCCCCTAACCTTAACTCCCCTCTTCCCCGATCAAAAATTAATAGCTCATCCATGCATTGTTTGTAAGTTGCCGTCGCCCAAATGCATTCGTACCGCGTTGTGCTAACGGCGCTCTTAATGCACCGAGCGTGGTTCACCTGCAAATTTACCCTATGTTGTTGACACGATCCCATGGTATAGTGGACGAAGGCTAACTTTGGAAAATCCTGTCTATCTATAGCAAAAAATCGAAGAAAGCACTGAACAAGAAAAACCTTCTACTTGATTCCAATTCAGCAGCACGTCGCGTCATGAACCTCCAGCGACTCAAAACTCCGATTCAACTTTAATTTTCTTGAGAGGCTCCCCCGGCACATAAAAGCGAAACCGAACGTGACAAGTTACGAGAATGCGGCTAAACGGACCGGTTGCTTTTAAAGTAACGTCGCTATTTTACGATGAAAACACCCGGAAACGATATTTTTACTAGGTGATAACAGAGGATTTACCGATGGATTTGTTACGGCACGAATACCAAACTTTTTGTCAGAGTTGAATACAGTCTTTCCCAGTTACCATTCAAAAAATGACCAAAGTAGGTTGACTCTGCGCTTTCCACACAACGCCCTTATCAGTACATAAAAGAATAAGTTCAGCACAAACTAGACCCTCTTCTGAAAAAGAAGTCAGTCAGTAAGGTACATGCAATTAGTACATAGACATTATTTCCTTTCTCTACTGGCAGTGCATCTGGAAACGTCGCCTCTTCCCGATATCTAACTCGGGCAGATCTGGCACCGTGGTAGTGCGGTCAGAGCATAGAAAACACTATGCTGTTGCGCGGAGAAATACGTGTGATTCCATGCCACAACTCATTACGGTCGGCGCACGACGCCAGCAGCAGCCGCGGCCGATAGGTATGCGATCCGTTTCCCGAGAATATTTTTCTGTTTTCCGGGTTAATGCACAGAGAAATTTATTGTGTGTTAAATATGTCTAATAGGTGTGTAGAATTACCAATGTTGGGAGGGTATAAATGTAGCATAACAAATTGACGTACACCCTCCCCACCCCCTTACAACCCCCACCGCGAAGTTCTTTTTGTTTGTAAAATGTTTTTCAAAAATGATCCGGATACTCCGAGACGTCAAAAAACGAAGTTTGGGCGTTTTTTATTTTTTCGTTTTTGGCCTTTTTCTCCGCCGCCACTGGATCGATTTTCATAAACTACAAGGCTTTTTGGTCCTTGACATAGTAGTAACGTTGTGTGAAAATTTCATCCAAATGCGAGAGGCACTTCTGAAGGTATAGACGGGCCAGGGATTGGCGCACAGACAGACAGACATGTTTTTTTGTTATATAACATCCAAAAAACATAATATCTCATTTTCGCGATTACAGTAGGCGTTGAAAGTAAACATAATGAATGCCAATGTGCTGCTGATGCAGAATGGCTATTCGCCTTAATGCCGTAACGTAAAATTCAAAAAGTCACCAGAGATTCTTCTTGGTATTGACGTGATATCCAGATTCCAGACGACCTGGCTAGGGAATTACCATATTAGATCAACCGACACGAATCGCAGATCGTGTTAGATCCAGTAGCGTAGTTTCAAAATGAATAGTTTTTTATACTGAAGCAGTCGCGTAGCGTATTTCTATCTAAGCGAAAACAAGGCAATAATTGAAAAAAACGAAGTATCGAAAATGAAGAATGAAAATTATTACCTATTTTAGGTATTCACGTAATCATAAAAATTAATTATTTATCAAGTATATTTAGGCAAGCAACACTCAGAGACAATGAAGTCGCAGGCTGCGCGTCTCCCATCTCTGCTTTTAACAATAAGATGTCCATGGAATCACAACTGAGCTTGCATTATCTTTACCATGGCAGACTATTAAACTTGGAAGTTTGTGGTGTGTCATTCGACGCTATTTTTAAACGGCAAAATCATATCCGTTGTATTTCGTGCTGGAAATATTATGAGCATCTGGATATGGATTATAAGAAAGAGTAGGACCTTTCATTTGATCTGTCACTATTGTTGTTTCCAGGTACACCGTGAATTGAGCATATTACTATTTTTAGCTAACATTGAAAACTATAGAAATACATTATTTACTGCCATATTATCGCAGGTAGTGACCAAGTGATATGTTTCATGAACTATTGAACTATTGGCATTCCTTTTAAAAAGATGTCGTCAAGGTGGTTGATTCCGGGCTTACTGAGCAACGCTGTTATGAGTTCGTAAAGGATTACGTTCGGCACAAGTTGGCCCCTCTAAGAAAAAAATTAAACGGATCTAGTTAGTCAAACTGACTTAGGCCCGTATCGTCAGTCGTCCATACAATTGTAGGGCGCCTTTATGGCCTCCTTGATTGTCATAGTTTTCTATTTTTCCA